ATCCTCCTGCTTCTGCCTCCCCAGTGCTGGGATTAAAGGCATGCGCCACCACGCCCGGCTTGTGAGCTGACTTTTAAAAAACTCTCAGATCTGCTTTGCATCTATCAAACTTCAATTTGTTGCTGAAGTCCACCTGGGACCCAGAAGCACAGGGTCCCCAGTGCACCATCCTGCTGCCTTCCCCCAGACTCCTGGGCCCCTTTCCGTTCCAGGGCCACTCGCCTCTCCTTAGGGGACCCCAGACAATCCGCAGTAAAAGGAAGAAGGGAAAACTCTTACCCTGGTGATGACCAAAGGCTGGTTGAAGTCTATGCCCCCGGAGAGTCTGAAGCCCCAGGGCGCAGGACCCGGGAGGACCACGTTCTGGGGCATGATGCCTTCCTGGGAGGGATCACAGCGATGCGTGGACTCTGTGCACTCTGTGTCTCGGAACGGAACAACCCACTCTGCTCCGGGACAGCAACCTAGATGGGAGGGCGGCCCGGGAGCTTTATCCCCGCTGCGGTGTGACGTCACTGGTCTCCCCTCCTCCCTACCCCCTCCCACCAAGGAGAGCTCCAACTTTGGAAGTGAGAGACTCGCCTGGCCCTGCGGGAGCTCCCAGCGGGTGCAGCCGCCCAAATCTCTCCCGCTGGAGGAGGCTTCTAGTTACAGCTGCCATCATCCTCTTAAAGTAGCACCTGTCCTCCTGTTTACTTGGAGCTCAGCAGAGCACTTAACTGGGAGGTTTAAAGCAGGCAAACTACAGTCTCCATGCTTTCAATGAAAATAAAATACAAATGCAACAGTGCATCAGGAATTTAGCAATTTTGAGTGCCGTTAATATTTTCCTACTAGCTATGTGACTTTGGTCAAGTTAAAGTCTATCAGCCTTAGTTTCCTCGTCTGTACAACAGGGGTAATTACGGTACTAATAGGAGTATTGTGAAATTAGGTCAGAATTAAATATTTCTGCATGGCGCTTGGCACAGCATACATATACGTACCAAGTGTTTCTGCAAGTAAGATATACATACCCCAACAGACATGTCTGACCTTGTGACAATGGGACATGACTTTGGTATCAAGAATGGTGCAATTGAGTTACCAGAAAAAAGGAAAGGAAGACAAATTACACCCCCCCCCCACACCACACAATCTCATGATGTTTTAAGTAATTTTAAAATCTGGTTTGGGATACATTCATAGCTATTCCTTACCCCAGGTCGCTGCATGCTGCCCACAAGATGCAGGTTGCACAGGTCAGTTTGACACACGGAAGCAAGTGTGACAGTGATCTAAGAGTTGAAGCTTCTCTGTATGGGCCTTGCAGCAGAATGAGAGTGACCAGGGGAGTGTAAATACAAGAGACCAAGAGAACCCACAGACTGGGTGAAACTGCAGAGAAGAAAGCAGGTGGGTATTGGATAAGCACCTTTGTGGTCCAGATGCTGTAATGATTGCTTTACCTGTGATCTTAGTTCATCCTTACTAGTCTTATCAAATTGCTATTATTAGACTCATTTTTAAGACTAGGGAATAATTTCTTAGAAGCGGAATAACTTGCATAAGGTCATGTAGTTAACAGATAGGAGTGAAATAAAAAAATCCAGGTTGGTCTGATTCCAATGTCTATCTGATATAGGAATAAAGGTCAAGGGACTCTGGGTAGCATCCTGTATTAGTTTCAGTGTGGAATCAAACATATCTGGTGCTACGAGTCAGAATGTTCTGACTCCCAAGGAGAAAGGCAAGGGCGAGAAGCAAAAAATGCTTAAAAAAACCTGAGAAGGGGGGTCTTAGGGTTAATGTCCAATAAGGTAAGGCTATATTGGTCCAGGAGAGCTGAGCAATATACTTTATTAGAGAGTACTCTTTTTCAATGCATTTTGAAGACTGGTGGAGAAAAGAGATAAGAGATTCAGGAATCTACGAAGTGGACCAGTCCAGGCAAGTGAGTGTCACAGAACCAGGAAGGGCATTACTTTGCTCACTGTGGCATATTACGCAGGTCTCAGAGGACAAGTGTTTTTCTACTTCCCAGCATTTCCACTGCCTCACCTATGTTAAGTTATCAGGGAAATAAGCATGTGTTCTGCTGATTTTGTCTGTTTGCACCGGCTGTATTATTGAAGAACATACTTCCTCTGTCAGTCACTGGCACTGTCTGCATGGTACACATATATGTACACATACACATATCTGTTCAGAAAAGAATGAGACAAGTTATATGATGCTGTGTAATTATCATTATCTATTCTTTATACCTATTTCATGACCTGGCTTATAGAACAGGTTGATTATATGATACTTTTAATTTTTTCTACCAGTTATTTGGGGTCATTTAGATTAGTACTTCTGAAACTTTCTTCCTTTATGACCCCTTTTTGCTGGAGAAAATTTTACACAAACCTGAGTGTGTGTGTGTGTATGTGTATGTGTAAATAAAATAGGTATATAAATCAAACATTTATTGATAATAAATCATAGAGAAATTTATTTGAAATCAATTCTTCAATATATATGTAAATAAAGCCTTACCATTTATTAAAGAGAAGAGCAAGTTTACATACCAATGAGATGAATATACCTGTTTATTCTTACATAAAGATTTAAACCATGGGGCTGAAGAGATGGCTCAGCAGTTAAGAGCACTGACTGCTCTTGCAGAGGACGCTGGTTAGATTCTAAGCAATTACATGGCAGCTAACAACCATCTATAACTCCAGTTCAGGGGAATCTGACACCCTCCTTTGACTTTTGCAGGCATTGCACTTCATGGGTGCACTTATATACATGTAGGCAATACACTCATACACATAAAATAAAAATAATAAATAAAATATTTAAAAAGATTTAAAGCTTGCCTGACTATTTGGTACTGCAGGACTCAGAGAATCTTCAATGTTTTTCAGAGTTGAACAATATAATATTTTAATTTTACAATCATAAATGCAGAGAAAACCCCTTCCCATAAATATATAGTATTAAATGGTAACAGTATGTTTTTCAGAAATAGTTGGAAATTATGTTCTAATTCCAAGCCAAAAATCATTTAATAATTTTTTACACCATTTGAGTCAGCAACTCAAACAGAAGTTTTAAAAATCAAACAGTCTGACTTAATACGATCCAAAGATATGTTAGTTGGTTACTTACACACTGAGGCATAATAAACCATTATACTTCTTTAAAAGCAGAAACCTTTTATACAATAAATGCATGGCAATTAATAATGTAAAATAATCTCAAATTTGAGCTGAGGTGTTTCTGGCAAAGCTCATTAGTGTTGCAAACCATGATGGCACGTGCACTGCAAAGTGCAAATGTATGTTCAGAAACAAGACTAGAAAGAAGCACTGGCCAGTGCTTCCAAAAATACGTTTGAGCTTGAATTAGTTTTTGATCATTGTGTATTTAGAAACACTATATTGTTACTGTGCTGGATAGCTTTAGTGTCAACCTCAACCTGGGTTGAGGGAGCCTCAATTAGGGAATTGCCTTTTTTGGATGGGGCTGTGGCCATGTCTATGGGGCACCTTCTTGATTGTTGAGTGCCGTGGGAGGGCCCAGCCCACTGTGGGTGGTGCCACCCCTGGGCAGGTGGGCCTATGTTCCATAAGAAAGCAGGCTGAGTAGAGGCCAGAGGAGCAAGCCAGTAAGCAACATTCCTCCATGGCCTGTATTCCAGCTCCTGCTTCCTGGTTCCTGACCTGAGTTCCTACCTTGGGCTCCCTGGTGAACTGCAACCTGGGAGATTTAAGCTGAATAAACTCTTTCCTCCCCAAGTTGGTATTGGTCAGAGTATTTTGCCACAGCAATGAAGAAACAAACTAGGACAGTTACCAATCTTTTTTTGGTGATCTGCACATTCAATTTCATGACACCCATATGGGGTCTGGACACACAGCTTAAGGAGGTTGTGACTGGGTGACTGGAGGGATGACTCAGCACCTAAGAGCACTTGCTGTGCAGTCACGAGGACCAGAGTCAGATCCCAAGCATCTACTTAACAAGCTGGCAATCTGGCAAACACTTGCGACTCCAGGTCCACGGGGGACAGAGGATACCTTGCTGGAGCTCGCTGGCTCCCAGCTTAGCCCTGAAAATGTTATCCTCAGGTTCAGGAGGAGATCCAGCCTCATGGGGATAGGCAGAGAGTAGTAGAAGAAGACACTCAGTATCTTCTGACCTCTGTGCGTACACAGGTGTACATACCAGGAGGTGTGAACACACACACACACACACACACACACACACGCACGGACATGCACGCACATGCATATACACTTACACACACAAATAAAAAAATCTTTAAAAAAAGAAGTTTTGATTGGATATAGGCAATATTGATAAAGCATTCATATAATATCTGATGAGTTCTTAAGGCTTTGCAGAGAGTGAGAATAACAAATGTGAAATGGGCTGTTTCCCTCCATCCATTGCTCACTGGGAGCAACAGGAAAGTGTTCAGTGATGACTGTCAGGTAGAAGTAAGAGCAGCTGTGTGTGACTCTTTTATTCATTCTTTTTCCTCTTTTTAAAGGATACAGTAGAGTACTGCTTTCTGCAGTGATGGAATAAGAATGACACAATCAGCTGTCCTTAGGAAAGCTGTCAAGGAATGCTCTGCTCTGTAAGGCTGGATCTAGAAAGGTAAACTTCCCAGGCAGAAGTTTCTTCTTGGTTCTTTTAGCTTTTTGAGACTAAATCTTGTTATTTACCTGGGTGGCCTGGTACTTATTATGTAGCCCAGGATGGCCTTAAACTCACAATCCTCTGCCTCTGACCCCTGAATGCTGGGATTACAGCAGGTACTACTATGCCCAAATTCTCCTCAGTTCTTGTCTTTTCCAAGGAAAGACTTTGGCCAAGTGACACAGGCAGTTTAAGCAGATGTTTATTTAGCAAAGCAAAGCAAAACACCCCAGAGAAAGACTGGAATGGACTGACTTGCAAGAAGAAATAGTAGCCCATCGGGTTCTGCATTGTAGATTTCTAAGAAGTTTCTTATAGTGCCTGTCACTGTTAAGTTCTTCTCTTTGGGTATCGCCTTCATCCCCCTCTAAGGCACAGGCTCTGGGGACAAGATGTCCCTATGATTTTTTTCCCCCTTCTCATCAAGATGTTCTTTGCTTGGCATGGATAGAAGTTGTAAAAGTGCCCTGGCACCTGAATTTCTGATATTGTGGGAAGAATCTAACTGTAACTTCAAGGTATTGAGGTACAAAGGAGCATTTTAACCATAAAGAGACAAAGTTACTAAGACACAATATAGTTTTCTTGGTTCCCTGATATCTAACTCCTTTCCTACCCAATCAGGTTGTATTCCATGTCAGCAGGGGTAAGTATACACGACACCCTCCTCCTTCCTGCTCATGTCTGCTTCGTTTTCTATCATAACAGTAATGTTTTTTTTTTTTTTTTTTTTTTTTTTTAGGAGGCTTAAATTGGCTCATGACTAGGGGCAAGAACACAGGGTATGTATAGGAAGG